ATAACTGTCAGGTTACGTGGGGTTGTTTTAAGAAGATGGAGAGGATTTAAAAGAAACACGTGTGCACACTTCTAGGGCGGTCATAGGCCATCTCTCCCTACTTTCTAATACTTCAGGACCAAGATCTTAACTCAGCATGATCCTCCTCAGCGTATCTAACCTCTTAATTAAAATAACGTATCTCTTACCAACATGGAGAGAGACTGTAGGAGGAGTAGTATGCAAGTTCTCAGGCTAAATAACAGTTTATATATTAGGTCATCTTTCTGTACGCATAATCAAAATATACTAAAAAAATAATTACCGGGAGCAGCTGGGCAGTTACACACAGGTGGAGCTGTGTGTTTTCAAAGCCCCGGCTGACACTTTCTTCTGATGCCAGGCTGCAGACAGGGAGGGAGGGATGTTCCGTTAGGAACAGCCGTCATTGCCGGCGAGGCCACCCTACCGCTCCCCTTGCCAAACGACGTAGGAGCAACTAACAGCTACCCAACCTCTGTGACACCGGTAACTCGTTCCATTCAGCTCAGCGGAAGATGTCCTGTGAATGCTTTTCACGCTTATGTTCAGCTACAGATGACAAGAGTGGCAACGCAAGAAGTTATCTTTTTTATATGTGATGTTCAGCTTAAATCACAAAAAAAATTGATTCATTTTTAAAAACACGTAACATCTCTACCTACTGAAACAAGATGTATATGAATGAAAATTTGACAAAATTAATTTGGGAACAGATTCTGCAGTTAGACCCTATTACTTAAGGACCCAAGTATTTCCAATGAAGTCAATAAGCAGAATAAAAAGGAAACATGATTTCCTTTACCTAAAAAAACCAGAATCTGATTAAGCACATAAATGTCCAAATCCCATTAAGTTAACTCCATTCAAATCCTTTTAAAGTTTCACCCTGAAAGAACAGTAAATAACGGATCATGGAGTGGCAGATAAGGAGGCCTGAAGTCCTGAAGAGTGGGCTTTTGGCTCACCTGAGAGTGCCTTGGACCACAAAACAAAACAAAAAAAAAAAGGAAAAATATGTATTTCGGAAAGCGTCTGCAAATACTTCACTGAATTTAGTCTTGAATAAATTTTATGGGTGAATTTCAATGAGGGCTGGCACCTCTCTGAGAATTCCTAAATATTCCAGCATCAGATTATGCTTTTATCTTTTTATTAACATTCTGTTGCCATTCAAGCCTCAGATTCGACCGTAAACTTGGATTTATTTATTTCTTTATTTTCAGGTCAACCACTCCCTTTTTGTCTTAAAACTTGAGAGTGAAATATGCCATTCATAAATTTGGGGAAAAAATAAATGACGGAGCAGTCATACAGACTCAGCTTCCCAGTTTTGCCTAGGCAGAGAGCTGCCGAGATCCAAAAAAAGCCATTCATGCGGGAACAAAACAAAATAATCCGTACACGTGGCTGGCTGGCTGTGACCCACTAAAAAGAATTATTTGCTTAAGCAAACCTAAATCTTACTTATGAGGTGGGGGCTCAAATTTTGTATATTAGAAACGTGTCAAAATGATAGGGAGTGTCCAGCCTACCGAAGCCCAGGCTTGCTCAAAACAAGCAAAAGCACACACAGTGTGTCGAGAGTGTTTCTTTAAGAGAGCTCTGATACCCGAATTAGAAATGAAAAGAAAACAAAAAAGTACCAAAAGACATTTTTAGCATGAATCCTCTACACCCTAATGCGCCCTAAAGCTACAGGAGCCCATCGTGTTCTCAGATGGGGAGGAGTTCGAAGAAATCTTCGGTAATTCACAACGGAAAGCAATAAGACAAATCTCTACATTTTTGAACACTCCAGTTTGCTATAGGAAACCACTGATTTCCACCTTAGTGACATTTACCAGGAAGATTGGGTAATAAAGACCGTCATCTGCTATAGCTTAACGTTTACTGAAAAACATCCCACAAACGTGCATCGGTATCAATTTAACCGGGGAAAAAAAACCCAAACCCCAAAAAAACAGCACCACCCCCCCCACCACCCCCCACAAAGCAGCAGAAGCAACTTTCACCATACTACCTGAAGAGCTTTCAGCTACCTAGAGGAATATATTGCTCACGTATCGACACACTCAAGGGAACCTGCCAATTGCTTTCTATAATTGCAGAGCGCTTCGTGGGTATCTCGACACAAACTGAACATTATGAGAGACACGAATAGCATAAGGCATATCTCAGTATCTCTCAATTTAATTTTCTTTTCCAGAATTCACAATCAATCTTCATTTACATGGTTCAGCTGGCACTCTGACGTGACTGGGATGGAGCAGGGCAGGGCATATTGGGCATCTAGAAACTTGGTTTGCCTGAAAGTGGTCCTTTTGACAGACCCCTGACGACCGACCCCTATTTTTGACCTTACAAATTACTTCCACAAAAAAAAATAGCCACTCCTCCAAACACCATTTTACTTCCAACATCTTTTGAAGGAACACTGACTCCTCTCCAACCATCTATTGTATTAATCTACTGAACAGCTAAGCTATGAATAGATGACTAAAACAAACAAGGACAAAATATGCACAGTGAAGTACTGAACAGAACGGCTTTGCCAAAGCGTTTTCTCAGTGCCCATATGCTATAGCATGCTTTTGCTCCCTACTCTTCATTAAAATCTCCAAGGCCATCTCACTGTAATGCTGCAAGCCCTCCCCATGGCGCTGTGCCCCGGCGCCTACGAGCCTCCTGACAACGAGGGGGGTTTTTGCGAAACACAGATTTCGATTTGCAATCAAAGGGCTCATCTCATTCATTTATACAAAAGCCATCTGTCTTTCCTGAGCATTCCCAAGGAAAGACGGCACCAAAATTCAAAGTATATTAGCTAAGGAATTATCCGTGGCAGTTTGAAAACTGTACAGCCGTCTTGTAAACAAAAGTAAGTTCAACACCACTGCATCTGAAATGCAGGGCTAACTGGTTGACATAAGGTGCTTAGGGGTATTTTCATACAAATTCTTTAAATGCTTTTTTTTTAAAATGTATATATATTAAAAAAAATAAAATCCAAGAGCAAAATGAGAGCAGATCAAATAATCTCCCTTTTCAGAATTTCTCTGTCTCGAACAGCATGATTTACTTTGAATCCCACCACCACTTAGCCTCCTCACCTTCTTTCTGAAGTGATTAGATTTGAAATACATTGCACTCCAGTATGTGATAGTTGTGTCGACAGTCAGGCACATATAGGACATCAAAATTTTAACCTTTACCTTGGGGGCAAAAATGTGAAGCTTATTTTTCGGAGGTCTAAAAGTAGCCGCTTGTCATTCTTCCACCAGCAGAGCACACTTTTGAAGAAGTAACACATAGTGCTTTATACGATGCACAGTGCGTGCCAGACAAGTCAACGTTAAGTCCGAGCCATGTTAGCCGGTAATTTTTCTAAAGGCTTTCCTTTCACCTAGGAGGTGCCCTCCTAGTCTAGATAGAGTCTACTTTGGACTAAAACTCCACCTTCTACCTGAAGGTAGTCTCTAGGCTCATGTAGTTCCCAGAAAAGGAAAAAACCTCCTCTTCCAAAAAAGCTGAAACCATGTTTCCAAATGAAATTCCACCCTACCACACACTCTCTGAAGTCAATAAAGTGGAGGGAAAGTTCTCAATTTTGGCAGGATCTTGTTCCACGACATTCAGCGGCGAGACTGCTGTATGCAATTATAAACTCATCCCTATTTCACTCCAAAATGGTATTCAATCCTAATGCTAATCTAAGAAGATTAGCTGCAGATCTAAGCAGATATCTGAAACACGCAAAAAGTCAATGCAATGACATTCATAACATTATTTGTCTGTTGTTGCTGTGCTACAGCTATAGAATTTATTCTGTCTGTGTAAGCAATATAGAATATAGCCTGTGAATGCCG